ATTTTACCTCGAGTTACTAAATACACTCTCAATAATTTGAGATTTGCGGACAGAAGATGGCAGAGAAAATACATAAAATAGAACAAATTATGTCCTAAACAAATTAAAATCATTACTTGTGTTACCGCGATAAAATGTTTAATAAAATGTATAGAAAGTTTCGAAAATCGTAGCGATAACCCGTGACAAGAGAATCTTATATCCTCTTACCCGTGAGAGCCCAAATGGGAAATGGGAATTTAGCAATGGACATTCCACTAAGTAGCTCCTTTTTTTTTTTTTTTTTTTTAACTGTTCTTAGTTAGAAATTTACTGTTGATTGTTGTGGAATGAGAAAACCGGAGGACTCAGAGAAAAACCTTTAGAGCAAGGACAAGAACCAACAATTAACTATACCCACATGTGACGTTTGAGGCCATGCGTTTTTGCGTTTTGTGTTTTTGGTTTTTACGAGAATTCTGTTTCCCGTGATTTCAGTATTTTAATTTTATTTTTTGAGTAATAAACTGAGAGAACTGCTGTTTTCCCCGAGAAGGTTACAGGGCTGGTGTGTCTGTGTTAACTCGAGACATCATAAACAATGGCAGCTCTTGTGCCAAGGTGCTTCCTGATTCAGATTGGGCAAATCAGCTTGACCATGGTTATCAATTTCATCCCGACTTGGTACCAGGACTGTCGTTGACGACAGAAACATAATTTCTCTCCTCCGTCCCCAGTTACCTCGGTCTGAAAGGAGTTACCCAGAGTAACCAGTTGATGGGTAATGCTTCATCTATATATATTTGCCTAAGCTGGGCCTCAGTGTCGTGGCTATTACATAACGGAACTTTTCCTTTACCCATTTCAGTTATCCATTCTTATATATACTCTAAAGGAAATAAAACCTTTTGGACAAGATCTTCTCTGGCGAAACAAATACTCGCTGACTGAAAATATGAAATTCAAACTTCATCTGAAGTTTCCAACGATTTATCTAAGACGTTCTCAAGTTCCGAAGTGGCAGGTCATTATACGACTTGGAGCTCCGGAAAATATTTTTAATGGGCCGGCTCTCACCGAAAAGTTGAACTTAATTCCCAAGAAGGTATTAATGTTCATACTTCCCTTGGTCGGTTCAGTAAAGTTACACCTTTCCGTTCTCCGATGTTCATCCACTGAGCTAACGAAGAGCGTTTAGAGACTCTTCCCTATATGAATACGTGTGTGTGACGCCCTATTTACAAAATATTAAATTCAGTTAAGTAATGCATCCCAGGTTTAAAAGTCCCTTTTTTTCGGTTAAAGTCAAGTTTTTATGCAAGTGAACAGAATATCAGGGCTATTGAGTAATCCATTTTTATTCAAGATAATAATTATACTGTTTCAATCATTTGTTCGTATACCACAAGCGTAGTTTTTTACTCATGTTAAGATTTTAATGGAAGCTATAAATAAAATGGAAATGCTGCTGAAATGTTGCTCGGCTAAGAAGTTAAAGTTATTTAAAAAACAAACTTCATCAATGGTTTTTGTTTCCATCAATCTACGCTCTCTAAAGGTTACGAAGTGGCAGGTTTGCTAGGGCGATACGAGAAAGATATGGAACCCTGTAAACTAGCTGTAATAAACCTTCTCTGAATCCTGGCATCCGACGAGCGTAAATTATAGGATTTACAAGTGAGTTAGCTAAAAATAGAACTAACACAGCCATATGAATATGAACATTTATGAAATAAGTGGAGGAGTGGCGAGTCCATGCTGCATATATCATCGCTGGTAGAAAACAAAGTAAAGATACAAGTGAGACGATAAGCGCAGTACCCGTCAGTTTTCTTTCTCTTTTTGATCTAGAATGGAATTGGGAATGACGAATACATCGTACTTTGATAATAATGAGGATGTAAGATACACAGATAACAAATAGAGAAACTGCATAAAAAAGGCAATACAAGTAAGTATTAATTACCACTCGATCAACAATTCCCCTTAAGAAAATTTGAACTGCTTCTCTAACCACAGGTATTAACCAAATGGCAATAATTATGGCTCTATAAACCCACTTCCTCACAAAGCGATGCCTGAATGGACAAAATGTTGCGTGTAGCCGCTCTAAGGAAACAGCAATAAGATTTGTAAGGGAAGCGAACGAGAATAAATGTAAAAATGCAAAAGATAAATTATGAGGCCAAATAGTCCTTTGTCTGTAATTCCACAGAGGACAAGACCACCCCATTATGTGTTCAATCTGTAGCGGCCCAGAGACTACACCCACTAAGAGATCGACTATCGCCAGATGGATGATCAAATATGTACTCCGCCGCTGTAGCTGACGCTTCTTCTTTACAAAGACAACAATGGTGATGATATTAAGGATGACAATGGCCAGACATTCGATGATTAGGACTACAAGCCATGGAATACACTGCGAAGCTGAGGATAAAGGCTGCACTTTCATTGAGCTCTGTTAGCTGCTATGAAAATAACAGAAAACAGTTCAAGATAAAATGAAATATGAATTCAATATTCTCAATAAAGAAAGATGTCAAATATACGGTAGAAAGACCTGCTCCTCTTCTCGGAGCTGCTTTCGAAATACGGTTGTTGTTGTTCTCGCCGCCTTGAAAATTTCAAAGACAAATTAACTGTAGGCACGGTGAAATAAAACTAACCTTTTTTAAAGCAAAAACATCCCTTATGTTTCATTTTCCACACCCAGACGTTTAATCATTGTCTTTTCTCACTTCGGATAAATTTCTTCACTCACGCTTGTGGCTTATGATATTGACAAAAGAAGTTTCTTTGTCAATATCGTAAGCAACAAGCGTGAGTAAGATATCCTTTTCGTCGCGTTACGATTATAAAGATCGACAATGACATATTTCCGTCTATACTGATTCAGTTTTTCTTATCTCACCGAAGGCAGAATTTGCAAACGAATCTTAAGAATGTTTTGAACTTATCTCACTGATAACGAAAGTTATTGTTGGTATGATTAAAGTCCTGTATCGTGGTAAATCCACTTACAGAACAGCTGAATATAGAGAATCGACATAAGCAAATCAAACGAGTGGAAATGAATAGTTTCTATAATCCTTGAGTGGAGGTTTGAAAGCTTTTGATTTTCACGGGAGAAGTTTATATCATTGAAGCAGGCAAGTTTACTGCCTTTGAACAATTTGCTAGAAATAAGAGGTCCATTTGTAATTTGTTTTATCTTTTGAAAGGAGTTTGGGTAAACTCGAGAAGTCATAAACTGTGGCGGCTCTTGCGGCAAGGTGTAACTTGATTCGCACTGCGAAAGTCAGATGTAGAAATAGGGTTGACAATTTTATTGCGATTAATCACCAATTCAGATTGTCGGTGACCATAGCAACAGAATTATATTTGCTACCTTTCTTCTGTACTTTGACTCATTTGATGTTCCTTTTTTTTGATGCAATACATATCCAGAAGTTTGATAATTCAGCCTCCCTCTCTCTTTTTGGAACGAATTTCTTCTTTTTCCAACTATACAACATTATTTTGATGTACTCTGAATAAGCAAAAGCCTATATACAAGAAATCTCAATTGCCTTAATCGTTTTATAAGCATCAAAAGAGACAAACTAAAATAGGAAAATTTCCACATAATTGTAAAAGATTGTCGATGGGCGTAAATATGATAACAAAGATGGCAAGAGGGGATCAAGTTGGTAAATGTTGTACTAGGTAATGAAACAAAGAAAGATCTTTTCATCGTCTCGTCACGAACGTGTAACGACGGCTGAGGAGCAACGGGCTTTTCACAAAAGCTTTCAAATTCATCAACCATTTCATAAGCATTAAAAGAAGGAAATAAAACTAAGATTCTAAAATTTCCCACAAACGTGCAAAGGATTTTCCATAACTTCTCTCCACCCATTTTAACTCGCTTTACTTCATCACACCAAAACAAGACTTTGGAAAGGAATTAAATCTTACGAAGTACTAGGTGTCCTCTAAAAAATGAGTTAGAGTCAAATTTGACCAAAGGCGGTTTTCCGAATGAATAAGAAAACAACATGCCAAACCCCAAGCAGCCCACGCTCACGTCTCGAGAAAAAGCCAACGATTAATTCATGAACGCGTCACGTGTTGAGCCACTCGGTGTTAAGTTACGAGAGGAACCATTGAAAATTTGAACATGTTATAAGGAATAGTATGGGGAACGAAATATGGTCGATTTACAACCATAAATATCTCGAAATATGAACATTTCGTCTTTTGACATGAATAACGATGATGGTAAAGCAAGCTTAAGACGGCAGAAATCGCCAGAAAACTACAACGGATACACAGGGTATGAGTAAGTTTTATTGATTTTACGTGAAAAAAATGTTCATATTTCGAAATATTTATCATTGTAAATCGACCATATTTCGTTCCCCATACTATTCCTTATAACGTGTTCAAATTTTCAACGGGTTCCTCTCGTAACTTAACACCGAGTCACACAACGCGTGACGCGTTCATGAATTAATCGTTGGCTTTCTCTTGAGACGTGAGCTTGGGCCGCCTATGGCCAAACCTGTACGTCGTTCATCCGAAGAAAGTTCCGTATCTATGTCAACCCAAACCGCCGGCAAAACGGCTTCGTCTGGAAAGTCGATACCTGAATATCAAATAAATTAAGATGAATAGTTTCTAGAAACCTTGAATGCAGTTTTGGAAGCTTTTTGTGTTTACAGGAGAAGTTATATCACTGAAGAAGGAAATTTAACTGACTGAGAAAACATTTCAAAATTGAAATACGCGGCATTTTTTTTAATGTTGTTGATTATGGTCCACAAAAATTTTTTTTCCTTCTATAGTCGATTTTTCATTTGGTAATAATTTCTCAATTAAAGACTTTATTTTCTTGAGTAGGTCATAAGTAAAGGAAACCTATTGGACAGGACTTCATGAGTATCATCATAAGTTCGACGGTCTCATTTTTTGAAACTAATTCAGTTGTAATCTCATATCTTAAGCTAAAAATATTCTCATGAATAAGACATTTATTGACGGTCTCACGTTCTCTATCTCACAGGCAGGATCATAAAGGAAGTAATTAGAGTACCCGTATTTATTTGGCTAGAAGCCGAGCGATTTTCACAAAAATTCACGCTAATATTTGGTAAAATCTGAGCCATAGAAGGGGTTTGGCTTATATTTTTCGACTTATTAGAACAATTATAAATGGGCACGTATTCGCGTATAAGCCGAGCGAAACAAATAAAATAAACTCAGGGTACAGTATGTTGACTCCGTCAGGTGGGCACGGAATGAATCCCAAGCCAACAGCCGTATTTTCTGGCGATTTCAGAGTTGCTTTCGACGGCTTCCGCTTCTGCAACAATTTTAAGCTTAAGCGAGAGGTTGTGCGATGTACGACGAGCTTTTAGCATGATCACGGATTAACGAGCATTGTGTTCTAAAATAGGTCTGGGCTTGTAGCCGAATGTTTTGGTTTAATTTTTTGTGATGACTAAGTTAACAAATTGGAGGTATGGGGTCTCGGCTTATAGCTGGGATCGGCTTATAGCCAAATAAATACGATATGTTAATTTGAGTGCAGCTGAATCAAAATTTTGGATAGAAGCATACACCTGTATTGCGTTAATTTGGACCAAGTCCTTTACTTTATCATGGTCAAACTGTAAAATACTATAGATGAGCTATTTCCTAGATCATAGAGTTGAATTTTTTAGAAGCTGTTGGTTCGTACCTAAGAATGTATAATATTAAACTGGAAAAAATGATCCATGCGACAAAACTTTAGGAAATAAAATAACACGGTGACATTTATTTCTTTGGATCTACCGTTACATTTGTATTTAATGTAACTCAAACTCCGGTGGAAATAGGTAGTATTCTCTCCTCGTGATGATTTCCATTTTTTGATACTTGCCTTTTGAAAACTCGACGTTCTGTCTTTTCCCGCAGCAATAAAAACAACAAATATTTATAATTTGGTTATTGGCTACACAAAGTGGTGGTTCTAATGCCTCTAATAGCAATCAACAGTAGTTTTGAGTTTATTTTTGAGACACTCTCATGTGTTTCCCATTCTATCTAAATTCTCTCTTAGTTATCTGTGCAGTTGCTGGTTAGGTTAATTCACACATCATAATCGATTTTTTTTTGTTCCACTCAAAGAGAAAGAAGACTGACCGGAAGCTCAATAATCGTTTTAAACTTGTATCATCGTTTAGTTTTCTGGAAGCGACAAAATGCATGCATTGCTTTTCCTTTTAATCATTTAGATACTTGTATCGTTTCTATCCTTGATCAACTCTTGTATGCGTCTTCTCGTCTACGCTCAGCCAGGATTCAATTCAGAGACTGGAGCGTATCACGGATCATAGATCATATAAAATCAAAGCATAGGGTTTTAACGTGTTTTGGTACCCGTATAGTCTTTGTTTTGTTTGACACGATTTTGTCCCGGAGTTTTTGCGTTCGGGTAGTTAGTTATCAGTAATAAAAACAATTTGATAAGAGGTCGTCTGCCCATGCAGGATGACGCGAATAACTTTGGAATGAAACCTGCTTTAAAAATAACCGTAATGTAAAAACAGCCGTCCATATTTATATTGAAGGCAAACCTAAATATTCACCGACTTGGAACCTTAATAGCGAGTTTAAAGTAATTTTATTATCAGTTTCTTTTTTTTTTCACTGATAACGAAAGTGTTTCTATCCTTAACTGAGTTTAAGTCAAATGCAGAGAGGGTGGTTTTCAAATAGAAAAGAAAGCAGCATGCTGAGGAAGAGGGCAATGCAAAGTTAACTTATCACTATTAGAACTCCAATTCAGTTTTTCCGAATGATTGACAGATAATAGCTGAAAGGAAAACGGCGTTTTTAGTGCAGCTAATTAAGAATCAGAGATAAGAGCATCCACTCCACGATTGTTATCGTAAGAAAAAAATCCATCTTCAAAACAGCTTAAAATAGAGAATCAACGTAAGCACATCAAAGAAGTGGAAATGAATATTTTCTAAAATCCTCGAATAGAGGTTTAAAGCTTTTTGTTTTTACGGGAGATGTTATATCATTGAAGCAGGCAAGTTTACTGGCTTTGAACAATTTGTTAGAAATAAGAGGTCCATTTGTAATTTGTTTTCCTTTTTAAAGGAGTTTGGGTAAACTCGAGAAGTGATAAACTATGGCGGCAAGGTCTAACTTGACACGCACTACGAAAGTCAGATGTAGAAATAGAGTTGACGATTTTATCGCGATTAATCACCAAGATTGTCGGTGACCATAACAAAAGGATTACATTTGCTACCTTTCTTTTGTAGTTTGACTCATGTTCGTGTTCCGTTTTTTTGATGCAATACATATCCAGAAGTTTGATAATTCAGTCTCCCTCTCTCTTTTTGGAACGAATTTCTTCTTTTTCCAACAATGCAACATTCTTTTGATATACTCTGAATAAGCAAAAGCCTTTATACAAGAGATCTCGATTACCCTAATCGTTTTAGAAACATCAAAAGAAACAAACTGAAATAGGAAAATTTCCACATACTTGTAAAAGATTGTCCATGGGCGTAAATATGATAACAAAGATGGCAAGAGGGGATCAAGATGGTAAATGTTGCACTCGGTAATGAAACAAAGAAATATCTTTTCATCGTCTCGTCACGAACGTGTAACGACGGCTGAGAAGCAACCTGGCTTTTCACAAAGGTTTCAAATTCCTCAACCGTTTCATAAGCAATAAAAGGAGGAAATAAAACTGACTAATATTCTAAAATTTCCCACAGACATGCAAAGGATTTTCCATAACTTCTCTCCACCCATTTAAACTCGCTTTACCTCATCTTAACCAAGTTAGAGTTTTTAGACAAATTCAATCTTACGAACATACCTTACTGATAACGAAGTAATAGGTATCCTTTAAAACACAAGTTAGAGTCAAATTTCACCAAAGGTGGTTTTCCCAATGAATAAGAAAACAACAAGTCAAGGAATGGTGATAGAGAATAAACACACCACTATCAAGGCTCGAAATTAGCTTTCCAAATGTGTGACATATGATATTTAGATGTCTGAAGACGTTTTGAGTGCAGCTGAACAGGAACAACAGGTAAGCTGTTCTTAACGTGTACGTCGTTAATTCAAAGAAAATTCCGTATCTAAGTTAAACCAAACCGCCGGCAAAACAGCTTCGTCTGGACAATCAATACCTGAATATCAAGGAATTGGAGATGAATGGTTTCTAGAACCCTTGAATGGAGTTTTGAAAGCTTTTGGTGTTTACAGGTGAAGTTATGTCACTGAAAAAGGAAATTTAACTGGCCGAGAAACCATTTCAAAATTGAAATACAAAGCGTTTTCTTAAATCTTTTAATTATGGTCACAAAATTCCTTTTTTCCTTTAAAAAACTTCGTTGATCGATTTTTCATTTCTTATGTAATTTTCTTTTATCAAAAATAAACTTCTCTTGAAAACTTAGTTCCTCATTATATTCAGTTCAAGGAATTGTAGGTAATGACGTGACAAGTTCCTAAGATGATGATGTCGTCACTAATATGTTATCTTATTGTTATACTGGGTGTACAGTTCTTTGAACGATCTAGAAAGAATTAATTTAATTATGTAAAAAAGCGAACACGAAATGTAAAGGATTCGGTGAAACAGTGACACGTTTCTAGCATTTGCATATCCTGCAAATGAAATGTCATATTTAACTACTACTAGTATCAGTGTGTACATGTGCTTCATTATTTCCATTGGGTTCCAATTTTAAATGATCACAGTTTGCGTTTTGATTTTTCGTTTAAGTTTTTTTTTTCAGCTGATATAAATGAAGGTTCAGAATTTAATTTATCCTGTGAAAATTAGAAATTGATAACAGGGAGTAAGGCGCGCAGATGTTCGTTTGAGAAAAAGAGCACGATAGTTCCCGAACATATAGGGACGTGTTAATTATTTTGCGTGGAATTAGGATGTTTTCGAAGCCAAAAATAGAGCAGATATTTCGATTAACCTGTATACCGTCAATAATAAAATTTGCGGTTTCTAAGTTCATTTGAGGACCGCGACAAATACAACCCATTTGCCCATCTCAACTCAAGTTGTTGATGACAGCTTTGGATTATATTTCCAATGAAGTATTCGCACGATAACTGCGTAGAAGTTTTATGAGCAAAAATCGTTACAGCGATGGTAAATACTGTGCATCTTTTAACATGTAGTTGTATAAAGATTGCGTTGTTGAAAGTTAGTCATAATTTCTTAATTAAAGACTTTATTTTCTTACAAGGTAGGCCATTAGTAAAGCAAACATACTAGACAGGACTTCAAAAGTATAATAATGAATTAGACAGCTTAATTTTTTGAAAGCTGATATAGTTGTAATATCATGTTATAAGTTAAAAACTATTTTCATAAATAAGACATTAATTGACAGCCTTGCGTGCGTTTCACTGTCTCACAGGCGGGATCGTAAAGGACATAATTAGAGCATGTTAAGTTGAGTGCAGCTGAACCAGGAGAAATTTTGGATAAAGACTGGAGTGTATTACGTAACCATTTTGCGCATCCCAGATCTGAATTATCTGATCTAATACACTGAACTATGTAATAGTGTAGGACTACACTCACCCGGACGATCAAACTACACTATTACATGTTACCCCGGGTTCAAACCATTTATTTTAACACTAAACTATAGGACTCGTAAATCGATGGTTTTGTTAGAAATTCCTCATTTAAACCAATCAGCCTTTTTCGAACTTAAGACTCCCAATTTATATGTGGTTACAATGGCAACATTTTCTGCCTCGTTTAATGATTTTTCCCTCTTGTTTTCTTCCAAACGCGATGAAACGCAACGATAGAGTGGTTGAGGAAATCTTTTGACATCAAAAGATGAAAAACGCCCGTAAAATGCAAAACATCGTTTTACTGCGTTAGTTAGTTGTCTACATTGTCTAATACAAGAGGTCGTCCGCCCATGCAGGATTACTGGAATAGTATCGGCATAAAACCTGTTTTAAAAATAATCGCGATATAAAAACGGCCGTCAATATTACACTGAAAGCAAACTTAAATATTTACCGGCTTGGAACCTTAATAGCGAGTCTACAACAATTCTATTAGTAATTTTGCTATTTGTCTTTTTCTTTATTTCTTCCTTTCATTCTCTTGCCAAGCTCAACCCCGGTGCTCTAGATTCTTAATGTAACAAAAATAGTGTATACAAAATAGTAGTAACCCATCCAGCCGAAAAAATTTGGATCTACGACCGTACGACCGTACAAGGCGCTACTTTTAACATGCGTGGTCAACTGTACCGCGGGCACGCCAACGCCACGGCTTTGTCCAGTAGTCCAGTGGTCAAAGCACTGGGCTCCGAGTCGGACGACCCGGGTTCAAGTCCTGGCCGGGGCAAGGCGTTGTGCCCTTGAGACGTGCGGGAAAAAAAATGCGAGCTCCGCTTTTAGGCTTGGCTAAATCTATATATTATTTGTGGTAGGCCGGCTCTGAAAAGTCGAATATAATTTCCTAAGAGTGTAATAAGAAAAGTACCCACACCTCCCTCGGTCAATCAATAACACAAGGAGAACCTCAGCAAACGCAAATGCAAATGCAAAGAATTGCACAATCCAATCACACCCCAATGCAAATGCAAACGCAAGCGTCAACGCTATGCTTCCTACACTTGTGAGTCGGCAAAAGCTCGATCGTTGTCGGCCATCTTGGAAAAATACTTCTACTGCCCTTCCGTATCTCTCTTTCTTTGCGTTTGCGTTGGACGTATGAACTCCTTCGCATTTCCATTTGCGTTTGCGTTTGCATTTACATCGCATGTCATCATGGAATGACATAATTATAAGTGATAAGTCAAATATTAGGTTTGCATTTTGGACTCTTTTGCTGACAAAAAAATACCTTACCGAGAGTTTGCGTGTTTATAAACACGCAAAGAAGTTGGGAGAAACACTCGACTACGCCTCGTGTTTCTCCCGACACTTCTTTCGTGCTCTAGTCGTTTGCTGCGTGCTTTACAACAGAACAGAGCACAGGCGAGGCTTCTCTGTTTGTTAAGTGGTTGAGATTGTAAACCTGGATATTAATAAAAACAAAATTCCTGGTGCCCAAATTATAAAAAGGCTCAACAATAACATCGTCAGTTAAACCAAGATATATCTTCACTGGTCTTGTAAGCTTAATGAAAATTCGATTACTGACTCTGGCTAAAATTATCAGATACTTTTGTTTTCAGCCTCATTTTGCCACAAACCTTTGAAGGCTGTTCAGCACGGACACATGAAAAGTTGACCTTTGTTTAGTCGCAACTTTCGACAAATTCCTTGAAAATTTTGGTTTTCTCGTTGCTCCATATCACCATACCACCTGTTACACACAATAAATACGCCACTCGGTTCCTGGACGTGGTGGTCGTATTGATACTAAGATTGTGTGCGTTTGTGTGTGTTTGGGTTCCCGGTAAAACGTTCCCGTCCATATACCAGCAGTGGTTATTTAAGAGGTTTAATTCGCGCACATTTTTGCTTTGCTTTGCTTTGCGCATGGTGCTTTTCCATAAAGCAATAGAAGAATTTTTCCATGTTCACGCAGTCTCATCAACATATAGGGGTGGGGAAGGGGTAAGAAAGTCACTCTAAGTTATTCATCTAGGGTTTGTTAAAACTCGCGTTTACTTTGGTTAAAGTCAAGCTGTCATGCAAATGACCACAACGTAGAGTAAGTTGAGTAAACTGTTTTTATTCATAGGCAAAACTATACTGTATCGATCATCTTTTCGTATATCACCAGCGTATTTTTCCTGACTCATGTTAAGAATTAAATGGAAACCAAAAACTGAAATAGAAATACATGTCGCTCGGCTAAGAAGTTGAAGTTATTTAAATGACAAATTTCATCAATAGTTTTGCTAGCATTTATCTACGCTCTCTAAAGGTTACGAAGAGGCAGGTTTGCTGGGGCGACACGAGAAAGGTTAGGGACCCTGTAAACTAGCTGTAATAAACCTTCTGTGAATCCTGGCATCCGAAGAGCGTAAATTATAGGATTTACAAGTGAGTTAGCTAAGAATAGAATTAGCGTAGCCAAATTAAAATGAACATTCATCAAACAAGTGAAGGAAATGTGACGACATGCTACATATATCATCGCTGGTAGAAGACAAAGTAAAGATACAAGTGAAACGATAAGCGCAGTACCCGTCAGTTTTCTTTCTCTTTTGGACCTAGAATGGAATTGAGGATGACGACTACATCGTACTTTGATAACAACGAGGATGTAAGATACACAGATAATAAATAGAGAAACTGCATAAAATAAGATATACAAGTAAGTATCAATTACCACTACATCAACAATTTCCAATAAGAAAATTTGAGCGGCTTCTCTAACAATAGCTATAAACCAAATGACAATAGTTATGGCTCTATGAACCCATTTCCTCACAAAGCGATGCCTGAATGGACAAAATGTTGCGTGAAGCCGTTCTAAGGAAATAGCAATAAGATTGGTAAGGGAAGTGAACGAGAATAAATGTACAAATGCAAAAGATAAACGATGAGACCAAATAGTCTTTCGTCTGTATTTCCATAGAGAACAGAGACTCCCAATTATGTGTTCAATCTGTAGAGGCCCAGACACTACGCCCACTAAGAGATCGACTATCGCCAGATGGATGATCAAATATGTACTCCGCCGCTGTAGCTGACGCTTCTTTTTCACAAAAACAACAATGGTGATGATATTAAGGATGACTATGGCCAGACATTCGACGATGAGGACCACAAGCCATGGAATACACTCTGAAGCTGAAGACAAACGCTGCATTTTCTCTGAGCTCAGTTAGCTGCTATAAAAATAACAGAAAACATTTGAATTAGAGATAAAATGAAATATGAAACGAATATTCTCAATAAAGATATATGTCAAATATTGAT